TATGGGATATGATATGGGAATCGCACAATCAACCTAATTGTGCGATTATTATGGGACATATTATGCGAATCGCGCAATCAACTCAATTGTGCGATTATTATGGGTCATGTGTGCATGTCAACCCAATTCCGATTTCGAAAATTGTACCTGGATTACGAACATTTGCTTCTCATTGACCTCTTTGTCTTCTTCGCCTGAATCATCATTGTGCGTGTTGGTTTGGTCATCATTATTGTCGTCGTCACGAGAATGACCTGGTTGGTTCGAACTACCCGCAGTTTGATCATCAGCGCCCCGAGGATATCCAGTATGTGTATATGAACTGGGGCCTACTTGATGTGAATATGGGGCCTCGTGGAAAAATGCAGAACTACCAACACCAAAAGAACTCGAAAATACACCTTGGGACGCCATCATTTGCGTGAAGCTTTGTTGCTCCATCCCCGAAATCCCTACATTTACTCGCTTCTCCAACTCCACGTAAATGTTGGGAGTTCTTTGTTCTTCAATCAGCTCTAAGATATCCTCACTGGATTCGATTTTCATCTTCACAACTCGTTTCCTTCCATCAAATACTGCCCACAATATGTACTCAAAATTACAAGGATCGGCCTTCAATAATGCTTGAGCACGAGAAACTACTTCAGAATATGTTTGTCAGCCGTAATTTATTCTCATCAGCTCTACCACTCCACCAAGATATGAACCCCCGCAAAACGAACCACCAAAGTGCACCAATACTCTAACACGGTTGCTAGCCACTCAAATAAGTGAACAATAAAAAGAATTAAAAAAAAAGAAACAGAAAAAATGTAGTAGATGAATGGTGCAGACGTTAAATTGTTAGAGATCACTGTTTTTTTTTTTGCCTGCATGATAAATGCAGAGATCAAATCCTCACTTGTGAAAAAACAGTCAATTAATGAGGTGCGCAACTTATGCGAAAGATCTGCGTACGAATTCCGAATAGTCGTAAAATTGCCAGGTCGATATGGCCCTGCGAAAAAATGGCGCATAATCGTAAAAAAAATTATGCTTTATTCGATTTGGTTATGCGATTTAAATATGCGAGCGAAAAAATGTCGCATAATTGTCAATTATCCGGCGGATATATGCTAAAATTTTTCGCATATTAGTAAATTATGCGATTGACTTGGATATGCAATTACCAGAAATTGCGTAGTCAACAAATTATGCAAATTAGATGCGAAATATTTTCGCATAGTCATAAATTTGCAAGGTCGATATAGCCCTGCAAAAAGAAGGCGCATAATCATCGTAAATTATGCTGCATTCGATTTGTATATGTGATTCTTAAAAATGCAAAAGATGTTCGCATATTTGTAAATTATGCGTTTGAAGTGGATATGCGATTAAAAAAACCGAAATGTTTTTGCATAGTCTTAAATTATGCGGCCGATTGGATATGCGCTGGTTCATTTGGACATGCGAGTGTAATATCGCATAACATTTCGTGAATTTTGGGGTGTAAAAGAAGTTATTTGACGGAGTGGTGTGTTAAAGAAAAAATAGATATATAATGAGGTGAAAAAGATTTTAACCCAAAATTATATTTCCAAGGCCCTCGTTGGATACAGATTATCTGGTCACTTTTGGACAGATAATTTTTAGCTCAAATTTAACTCAACTCAACCATATTATATTATTAATATAATTAAATTATATCAATCAATCATCCTCACATAACATATCAACTTAATAGTTTTATCTACTCATCATTTTCATCATACATCTCCTATTTTTGAATCAAATCAACTTTAGTTATTATATTTTAAATTTTACTTATTTCAAACTCAAAACTTCACTCAAATTCAACTCTATTGTAGATTATCGAACAAATTCAAAATAACTTATGTCTAAGAATTCCACTTAAATAAACAAATCTTAAAAGATCTAGAAAAATCTCACATTTTAAAAATTTTTAAAATATTAACCCAAATCTCAAAGATTATTATATATTATTGACAATGTGGTTTTTTTAGTGGCAACCTAATTTTGCAAATCCGGACTTTATGGCGCTTGAATTTCAAAAGTTTTGAATTTCAAAATATGTTGCCGTTGTACTCCCTAGAGCCAAATCTACATATGGTAATGGTATCCCTCCCATCTTTCATTTGAAAGAAAAAAAAAGTCGTCATTTACACATAGAGTGAGAGAGATGGAGGAGAAACCGAAATCGGCGATGGAGGCGTTCGAGAAACTGGAGAAAGTGGGCGAGGGCACCTACGGTAAAGTGTACAGAGCGAGAGAGAAAGCGACGGGCAAAATCGTGGCTCTGAAGAAGACGCGACTGCACGAGGATGAAGAAGGAGTGCCTCCCACCACTCTCCGCGAGGTCTCCCTGCTCAGGATGCTTTCTAGGGACCCCCATGTTGTCAAGTAATTACGCACCCTTTTCGTTCCACTGCGTTTTGTTGTTGATTCCCCCCCTGTGCTGATTTAGGGCTTTTTCTGTGTGTTGATTTTCGGTTATAATCTCCTCATGTTTTTGGTAGGGCAGATTTTTATTTTTTGGTTTGGGATTTCTTGATCGCTTCATGGGGTTTATGTTTTTCTTTCGATTTTATTGCTGCTCGCTTCATGGGGTTTATGTTTTTGTTTCGATTTTATTGCTGATCGCCCTTATTAGTTTGTTAAGTGGGTTATGAATTGATTAGTTTTCGAGAATAAGGATGATGAGTATGACTACAATTACAACATGTGGGAACCTTGTCATGTTATGTTGTCATGTGATCCAATATCAAAGCTTATAAACATCTCTAAGTAGTTCTGGGTGTCAGTTTTGATCATTACATATTCTGTGTTTGGTTCCTTTTCTTTTGTTGTTCTTTGACTTGTTATGTTGTTAAATAATCAAAATATACAATCACATAATTTACAGATTGTTGGATGTGAAACAAGGCCAGAACAAGGAAGGCAAGACAGTCCTGTACTTGGTTTTCGAGTACATGGATACAGATCTCAAGAAATATATCCGCAGCTTTCGTCAATCTGGAGAAAATATCCCATCTAAAATCGTCAAAGTATGTTTTCCTACAAATCCATTTACTTTCGGCGAATTTTCACATAATCTTTTCTGCAATTATTTTGCTACTGCACATTAACACAAGCGGTTAGCTGTTTATAATTGCAGAGTCTAATGTATCAACTCTGCAAAGGTGTTGCTTTCTGTCATGGTCACGGTGTTCTGCACAGGTGAATCTACGTTTTCTCAACTCAATATCTGGATGAGTTCATTTTTTAGTCCCTAGGTTTGAGTTAACATCAAGTAATTGTTCAGGGATCTCAAACCCCACAATCTATTGATGGATCGTAAGACATTGATGCTTAAGATAGCAGATCTCGGTTTGGCCAGAGCTTTCACGGTGCCTATTAAGAAGTATACTCATGAGGTTCTTTCTTGAATACTTATATTACCTCCATGTCTACAATCTATTTCCTTTTTTCCTTAGTAGTAATTGAATATTTTTATTATTTGCAGATATTGACCCTCTGGTATAGGGCTCCTGAGGTGCTTTTGGGTGCTACACACTACTCACCTGCTGTCGACATGTGGTCAGTCGCCTGTATATTCGGTATGAACATTTTTTTGCGTATCATTATATTTGCCGGTACTTGAACAATTTTTAGTGCCATTCGTACACTTTTTAGTTCTATCCTGATTTAAATAGTAAGATTAGTTCACTTTATCTCCATTGTGTTATTTTTCAGGTTTGTTTGTCGCTTTGAAGGATGCATGATTACTTTTCATAGTTAGGAAGTGTTATTTCCATATTTTTTGTATTATGAGAACAGAGTCCTAACATTCATCTTGTTGATTTTTTACCTTTCAGCTGAACTGGTGACAACCCAAGCTCTCTTTCCCGGTGACTCTGAGCTGCAGCAGCTTCTCCACATTTTCAGGTTAATATTGGCATACATCAATTTTTTTTTTTTAGTTACGCCGTAACTTTTGCAACCAACCTTAATTTGAAACATACTCAGGTTGTTGGGAACTCCAAATGAAGAAGTTTGGCCTGGAGTTAGCAAGTTGGTGAACTGGCACGAGTACCCACAATGGACCCCAAAGCCTCTTTCATCGGCTGTGCCTGGACTGGATGAAACCGGTCTACACCTTTTATCCGTAAGTCCTTTGCTTGATTAAATTAAACTAGAAAATAGTAAAATGGGATTTGGGCATTCCTTAATATTTGAAAAGAAAAATGTTTGATGCTTGCAGGAGATGCTGCAATACGAGCCATCCAAAAGGATTTCAGCTAAGAAAGCCATGGAGCATCCTTATTTCAATGATATTGACAAGTCAGTTCTATGAAGGTTTGCTGGACTCACGACGGACTTTAATGTCTCATACACGCTTGCTTTTCTCGAGCATTGGTTGTCCATTTTGATAGACTTTCTGCTTGTAGTCATGAAGACTTTTGTGTGCTGCTTTCTCATTGTAGTATTACATAGGGTAGAGTGTAAGCACTTATCCATGGGTGATTGCTGCAGTTATAACAGATTTATTTCCCTGTTTTGGTTGCCATTATTATCACCAAAATGGCCTTTTTGTTTGTTTTCCTTTCTATGATTTTTTTCTTAGTCACCTTCTTTACCACATTATATCTCACACATCTCAAAAGATGAAGATACAGAATACACATGCTGGTTCTATTAACTGAATGCAGTCCACAAGGAAAGGTTTACAAAGACTCCTGGTGAGCTAAATTACAAACAAATAAATGAAATAAACATCTAAGGAACAAAACTTTCCCAATGTGGAGTTATTTTCCAACATCTGTATGAATTTGTACTAACTTTGTCACATCCTTCATATGATCTTTCTGAAACACTGCGTCTTCAACGCACAAATGCAGAATCCGAAAATTGCGTTTTTCTTTATTTGTTCCCTTAAAGCACTGACCCATCAGTCACCATGCACCCATCAAAATAGCCTTAGTCGTGACTCGTGTTGATCGACAGAACACTTATATTGAGTTTCAGGACACAAGCCACAGAAAGTATGTTGACCAGAGTGTTAAAGCCACAGAAGCCACTGAATAACACCACAGCATAATCACAGAGCATTCACTCTCCCCCATACCAAACAGTTGAGTTATTGTTCCTGGTTGTGATAATTAATATTATACATTAAAAATCATATGATCAGCCAAAAACAAAAAAACAAAAAATAAGTATATAAAAAAGGCTACTTAGCAGTTATATTTGCCTCTAGCAAATTCTCTTAAGTTATGTAATCACAATCGGGATCATGATATCTTCAAGACTACTTTTTTCATCAAAACCACGAACATTCTGGTTATTCTTTTCCTATTAAGCACAGATACCTCTGTAATGTGACACAAAAAAACCAACTGAGGTTTGTATTTGCTTCATTATTACCCCCACTCCTCAGGGTACAAAGAAAGAATAATCATGGGAGTTGTAGTAACTGAGGTTATTGTAACGGCTATTCGTCATTTTAACCTTTTCCTTTCATCATTCATTACTAACAGTCTTAATGCAGATAGTGTAATACCGTACTTGTGCGTAATTTTAATATATTCATTCCTTTCCTTTTTGTTGGGTTTCACTATTTGTTTGAAAAAGTACAATCCTACTAATTTAAAGATTCTTGGGATACCATGTAAAATAGAGGTTATTGCGATGGAAAAACTAGTGCGTGTGATACGCTAATGGGGCCGACATAGTCACATACATGACGAGAAATAGAAGTACAAAAGTTTGATATAAATAAGAGAAGAACATACCTATGTTCATCGCTGGTGGAAGTGAAAATTGCAGCAGGAGGACAAATTGATAAAGAGGATCATTGTGCACAAAACCAAAACGGACTGCCCCTTTAACAATGACAATGCCTAGCAGAGGCATGACAATGTATCGAACACCTAGGATGCCGAAAATAATGGACTTCTGAATTGCTGTACCTTTCAGACCTGAAACAAAACATAAATATAAATAATAATAATAATAAGACAAGCTTTGGTGAATAAAATTGCAAACATGGAGTGTTGCAAACAATAAAAATAGAATAACATCAGCTTCCACCAAAAAAAAAAAGCAGGAAAGGATACTCATTTTCTTTTCCCAGATACAAGCAGACAATCACAATAAATATGTATACATATATGTATATTTATGTGCATATATAGCCAAAGATGATCATTGTTAGAAATTTATAGGCTTAAAAAGTCAGCTTGTCAACCTTTCAAAAGGTTCCCACCCACGATCAGTGTGATAGATGGAACAGCGGCATCCCTGCAATGAATAACAAGTATTAGATTTTTGTTACCAGTGATGCTAAATAACAGAAAAGTACCAAAATTCCTCAATACATGTAGAAATTCATAAAAAATATCTGAAAATAACTGAAATGATCCAACTCTGAAAATAACTGAAATGATCCAACTGAAGTTTCATTACCTAAAAAATGAAATGCAACAGACAAAACGCGCCCCTATTTATACCGCCTAATTTGAATAATTCCGTCTATGGTAAAACGACATCGTTTCACCATTCAAAATAAAATGTACAACTAAAGAGAAACACATTAAAAAACAAACACGCCTTTTGCAAAAGGAAAATAAGAAAAGAACGGGCTCCTGTGTTGCATGAGTGAACTACAGCATGTGATCTGCCGTACTTCAACACCCGAGGCCTCCTCAAGTTGGAGTGTGGCAAGCAACTGACATACCCAGCTTGAAGATAAGTGCAGAGAAATGTGCAGCGGGAAGAACAGTGAGGAGATGAAGCAGATGGAATATGTAAGCCGGTTGAACAAACCCACCCTTGAGCATATTTCTCACTATGTGAAAATCAATCTCCAAATGCTTTGTCGTTTTATGAAAAACAGGATTTGCCTGGTAGTGATCGGAAGGGGCATTGGCAGCTGTAAATCTTGTCCCAAGGAGTGTTATCCACTGCAATCCACACACAGTAGCTGCCATAGCTCTGTATTCTGCCTGGGTTGAGGATCTAGAAACCTTGTT